CTCGGTAGCTTTTATTTCTTTAATAACTGGTCGTGCTAATCAGCTGTCTGGACCAGCAGAAAAGTATTCAGTCTGCCCTTGATGTTAAAAAACGAATTTAGCACGAGCTCCAATAGAAACAATCTCACACACATCAGCAAATCCATCAATGTGTGAATAACTTAAAACTTAAAGTTGGCTTCCTATTCGCCAGCTTCTTGTTCGAGTTTTCCTGTTCCACCTTAAATGACTACCTGAAATTAGAAATTATTATTCAGCTATCTCTGTAGTCATTAGCACTCAACCTAGGATCAGCCATTCAGACAAGGGCATAAAGCCTTTGTCAGCAAAGTAAATTGGATGATCTGAAAATTTTGATTTCACAAGCCAATCCTGATATTGTAGTTTTGACAGAATCCTAGCTAAAACTACCTGCATCTAATTCAGAACTATCTCTATCCAGTTATAATCTACACAGGAACGCAAAGGGTGGCGGAGAGGCTATCTACACTAATCTATGTTTAAATGCAACTAATTACAGAGCCAACACGACCCAACTTCCATGATCCCAGCAAGTCAACAGACCTGATAAAATTACTTCTCTTTGGTTTTAGTGACCACTGTGCTATTGGATGCATTAGAAGCACCAGCACAATAAAGTCAGGCTCTCGGATGGTGGTTAGAAGAAATTATGAGAATCAGATATAGATCAAACCCTTGGTTCAATTCAGAAATATCTTCCTTGCTCAATGCAAGAAGTAAAGCATGGGCCCTACCTAAAAGAAATGGTGACAGAGACCATTGACATACCTTTAGGCAGCTAAGAAATAAATGTACTTCTTACATCAGAAATGCTAAAGCAGAATTCTACCTCCAGATATTTACAAACTCAGCTACAAATTCCTCTAAATTCTGGAAAACAATTAATTTGCACAATAACAAATCAATGCCCATTCCAAATCATATTGTAATTAACAATCAACAGTTTACTAATCAGAGAGAGATTTGCCAAGCATTTAGTAGTCACTTTGCAGCTGCTGGACATTTATTAGATAATACTAACATGGAAGCACCTCTCAATGAAATAGATACACCCTCTGCTGTAAGACATGGCCTCTTTACAATTCACCCTTTTTTTCCTCACTTAGTCGCCAAAGCACTTAACACCATCAATGCTAAAAAAGTACAGGAGAGGACAGTTTGGACCCCTTTTTTTAAGGCTTGCGACCCTGATTTTTTTGGAACAAATTACATATATTTTTAATCTATCTATTTCATCAAGCAGAATTCCCAGTTTCTGGAAAACAGCACATATAACTCCACTTTACAAAGGAGGTGATGCCACTGATCTTTATAATTATAGACCCATCTCAAAATTGTCATGCTTTGCCAAGATCTTAGAAACCTTTGTAAATGATCAACTCAAGGCAATTTTGAACAGAAATTCAATCTTATCAGACTACCAATCTGGTTTCAGAGAAAAACGCAGCACAATCTGTGCGGCCACTCTCATCTTAGACAATCTTTTCAGTGCCATCGATAAAAAGAAACATTGTGTAGCCATTTTCATTGATCTCTCTAAAGCCTTCGATACAGTTGATAATTCCCTACTCTTAAAAAGTCTGCAAAACATTGGTTTCAATCTCAGGGCTACTAACTGGATTAGAAACTCCCCCGTGACAAAGTATGTTTTCCAAAGCACACAAGGTAAAAGATCATTGAAGCTACACTTTTGCCTGTTCTGGATTATGGTGACGTGCATACAGATATGCATCTGTAACTACTTTGGAATCTACAGATTCTGTATACCACTCTGCCTTAAGATTCATTACTGGTGGCCCCTACAACACCCATCATTGTATACTATATGAAAAGTTTGGTTGGTCATCTCTGTGCGTCGGGTGATACATTGGCTTCCTTTTATCTATAAAGCGATTACTGGCCATACGTTATAGTGATTGGATTACCTTTCAGGTGCCGGGGGCTTTTACTGAGCTGGGAAAATCTGCTTTTAGCTACAGTGCACCAGCGAGCTGGAATTCATTACAGGAAACTCTAAAACTTTGCTCTGTGGTGTCACATGAACATTTTAAACTTTTAGTCTCTAATGACCTCCACACAGCCTGCAACTGCTTTATTTGATTTTACTTAACTTTTAATATGATTTTTGATATGTTTTAGGTATTTCTTAGCTATTGTTTTACTTTTTTTTTGTTTTGTTTTGTTTTTACTTTTTATCATTCTTTTTATTCCTTTTATTAGCATTCTTTTTATTTATCTTAATATTGTCAATTTATTGTCTTACGTGTTCTATTTCTTTTATTTTATTAATTTATGTTTTTAGTTATTTTATCCTTATCTGATCTGTTACTTATTAAGTTACTATTTTGTAATTCTAATGGTTTATTGATTTAACCATTTATTGGTAGCTTCTTATTATTAAATTATTATTATTATTTTTATTAAAACGTTTGATTTATTTTTACTATCCAATTTCTTAATCCCTGATTTCTGTATTGCCCAGCTACGATGTAAATGAGGGTCTCCCTCAATGTATTCCGAGTTTAAATAAAGTTTGATTGATTGATTAATTGATGGTGCAGCAGTCACTTTCTAATCTATTATGAATATCTACACGGATTAAGGAATGCTATAACTTACCTAGCTACAAACCGTCATTGTAAATAAATAACTACTACATAAAGTTAAGATCCCTGAATAGACTATTAAATGAAATAAGCTTAATATAAAACCAGAGGAAAAACAATTACATCAACAGGTTCTATGTGCTTCTTCAACCACACGGCCATATCTGCACACCAACATCACACAAACAATACGCATCACACAAACATGAGCGTGGATCGCTGCGTTCCCTCCGTTATATAATTTTATCTGAGTGCAATTTTCTTGAAATAGTATAATTTTGTAGAGTATCTTTCTTAAACTGCCCCTCTGTACTGTTACTGAATGCAGTCCAGCAGCGATGTTTACCGCCCTAAAAAGGCGGCCCGTTCACGTGCCTGGCTGGACCCAACGCGGCATCTAGGTATGTATATCTGTGTGGATAACTGACTGTTACTGTAAACACTGACTGTGTTTACTAACTAAATAAATAAATAAATAGAGCTCCATATTTTCTCTAAAACTTTACCTACAACCTATTTTTATATTTACTTTTATTAAAAAAAACTTTAAAAAAATACTGCTTATACACGGGTTGCTAAAGAACATATTTTTCACTTTGCTCAAACTGAAGATTTAAAAAATAACTGACTGTCGTTTTATTTAAGTGAATGAAGCACATCCGCTGACGTCAGGCGATTCGGATAACTTTTACGTTTACGTTACTGAATTACTGAGCCCCATATTTTCCACTACCTAGCTAACCATTTCAAATTTTCAAACTCAGACTGAGTCGTTTTATTAAATTACCACGAGAACAAACATAATTATTCGCAACATATTTGACGGATTTTGGAGGAGTGAAGGTGAGTCGATTAGCCTGAATTAACACGGTTCTGACGTTTGTTCACCTAGCTAGGTTAGCTAGTTTGCTAACGGAATTTACAACAGTCTTTCAGTATCGCAAGGATTTTCTTTACCCAGATATCACCAGCGAAAACCAGAGACCTGTCACGTATGAACGACAATAAGATTTATGCTTAATTTTAGCTAATTGGTTCAGCCAAGCAGCTATTTCGCCAGCTAACGTTAATTTAGTACATCTAAGGTGGCTAGCTAGCTAACTTACCTGCTCAGTTAATGATCGGAGTATAAGTAGCTAGCGTTAGCTAACCTATATGTGTATGTGAATATATGCAGAGAGCTGCTGCCGTATGTTGAACGTTAACCTGTTAGCTAGGACGTCTGCTTCCTTTTTATTTTCTGTCTTAGAAAATGGGAGAGGAGAGAAATATAAGATCTAATGACATTTGGTGCTTGCTTTATTAGCTGTAAGAAACAACTTTTACTTTGTTTACTTTCGTTTACTTTGATCTAGCAACAAACCCCAGTTTCCTCATTGTCTGTCTGTCGGACGGTTTAGGTTTTTGTAGAGTTTAGCTAACAGTATCATTATAGCCTTGTGTCATGATAGATCACACAAAGCATACATCGCAAACAGAGCACTGAAAAACATCCATGTTTAACAGTAAAACGGTAGGTTAGCTAACTAGGTAAGCTAGTTAAGAGGGGAAAAATAAGTAAAATAAAATAAAAGTCCACTCAGTGAGGCTCTTCGTCAGTCAAACAAAAATGGTCAGTTAAATTTAAGTCTTTGGGCTTTCTTGTTTTGCACACTTTTTAGAGACTTGTAAGACAAATGAACGTCTATCTTCCATATATTTATTTGAGGAATCACCTGAGTGCCTCCACAATCATGTATAAAGTATTTGCAAGACACAATCGAAATATTCACTAGAAATTAAATATTTTTTCTCCTCCGAGAATAGGCAAACCTTCACAGACCTTGTGGAATTATGTTAGACATTAAATATTGACGTGGTGTTTTCGGTAGAGTCCGTTTATGAGAGGATAGATATTCTAAGTAATGTGGTTTTCCCGGCAGCAGCACAATGACGCCGCACTCCGTTTTCAAATCCGTTCAGGATTTCGGGGTGCGTTCAAGCAGCCAGACGCTGCGCTGTCTTCGTTTCCGATTCACCAGAGTGGACCTAAAACTCGCCACACAGTTTTTGCCAGCAGTGGCTTAATGTAGTGGCGCATTTTTGCTGGAAATTTCCATTTTGCGAAGTAGAGCTGTTGAGCTGTATTACATATCAAGGACACACGGCGAGGTAGGCAGATGGGTTGTAAATTAAACCGTCAGATGGTTTTAGCAGTCAGATTACTCCAAAAAATAGCGAAGGAAAATGACCCTTTTATTCATTGAGAGCGCAACTATACGAATAGTAATGCATCGTATTATTTATCTGGCATGTTTTAATGTCTGCAGGACATGGACGTTGTGTTGGCTGGTTAACGGTGTACTGTCTATTTAAGACGGGAGGATCAACGGCTGAAGTCCCTGCTTCTTTTTCTGAGAGGCCATTTTGGTGCGTGTGGTCTGAATTAGGCGCGGACCTTTTGTGTCCTGTTTTCCTGACTTAGTTTTTTTCTTCGTCGTTTAATTCACGCCCACTTCTCCACACCTAAACATAATGGGTTTTGTCAGATTGCGGCGCCAAGCCGAGCTAGCTGGACAGTCCTTGTTGGACTAAAACCGAAATCAGGACAGCTTGTTTTTATCAATTTATTTTGTCTTTCGCGTCAGCGGTGTTTGTAATTTCTCCTAAAACCTCGTATTGGTTGAGGCAGCCACTCTGTGGTACCGTGATGACACTGACTTGCTTTTAAAAAGGTACGTTTTTTCACTTGTGCTCGTCTAATGTGCTACAGATTCTTGGATTGAGATCATAGGCAAACATTTCGTATTGAACGCTCGGTTTTTGTCTCAGTGTTATTGAATTCCTTATGATTGCAGACAGACAAAGCTGTAACATGCTATGGTGTAGCAAAGCACTGCGAAGTTGACTGGAGCCTGATTTGTCTGTAACGTAGTAAATCAAATCTTGTTTATGGCCCATCGTAATGGATCTGCGTGGAGTTAATTTCAGTACGATTTAATTATAGGCATGACCTTGTGTTTTCTTAGTTAATTTTTTTTTAGTCAAAACCCACGCCTGATAGAATACCACTGATGAGTGTTTGAAGGGAAAATTTATCCTGGATCGTGTTTAGTTTTGAGATTTGAGTTTAATTGCTTGCCTTATTTAGATTTAGGACTATCAGCAGTTAAAGAGGAATTCCACCGGTTTTTCAAATTTTCTGCATAATTATGTTGTTAAGATGTACACAGAGGCATTCAGAATGTTTTGATGAGAAATGCTCCGCTCTAGAGAAACCTGCAAAGTTAGAGTTGTACACAATGGTGGTGATAGGAACCAGACGTCTTAAGTGTTTAGTCACTCTAAAAAGCTCCCTCATAGAACATTATAAAACGAAACGGTTATGAATATGTTGCCTAATTCCTGACACACACACATACACACACACATATATATAAATTATATATATATATATATATATATATATATATATATAAATTTTATATATATATATATATGTATGTATGTATGTATGTATGTATGTACGTACGTGTGTATGTATGTGTGTATGTATAAGAGGGTGTTGTAAGGCAGAATAGTCCCTAAAGAAACCTTTTTTTTTAATCTTACTATTACATCTTACTATTATCAACATTATATATAAAAACTCAGAAGACATGTAGGTTTGGATAGTAAACAAACGGATATATTTGCATGGCAGACACTGCGACTCCTAGTTTTCATCACCACCATTGTAAGGAAATCTGAGTCAATAAATTTCATCTGCAAGGCACAGTTTCACGTCAAGCCACTCTAAATGACATGGTTTACGTCTCTGCAGTTGATTCATGTTGAGTTTTTAAAAGCCTCAGAAATTGTCCTTTAAGAGAGGTTTTGGATTGTAGGACCTAGCTGACAGGGAGTGTCTTGACATTTTGCAGCAGCTTTTTAGTATCCTTTTTTACCGATTGCATTAAATTAACCTGGTGGTGGTGTTGTTAATATTAAGCAGTGGTGCAAATTCAATACACTGCAACATATGTAGCAAGTATCTAATACTGATTAAAGTGGAGTTGTTGCCTCATCAGAGGCTAAAGGGTTGAGTTGCCTCACTGGGTGACTGTTTTTCTGCGAAAACACTTTGCATTCTGTATCAAGGGTAAACTCCCCCCTGCCTTGATTCTTGCAGTCTCAGCTGAAGGGACACCATGGCCTATTCTAAAGTGCGCACACGTACCACTCAACAGCATGCTGCAGAGAATACGGGCTACACCTACTCTCTCAGGTGAGCGTGTGACAAATTTGCTGTTCAGGATGCTAATTCATGTCTGGCCTAGATCACAAAACAAATATTCCTCTGTTCAGTCTGCCTAATGCTAACCATACACTAGAAGACTTTGAAAAGACTTTTGAAAGACTAAAGTCTGACACCCTCTCACATCTAAAGACAGTGCCATGTTTTTTAGTCACAGACTATGATTTTGCAAAGACTAGGAATCTTGCAGTGTCGCTATTTACAAGACTGCAACTACATTTTTGAGATTATTCCCCATCATGCACCTGGTGCAAATTTACAAGCAGATAAACACTTTTCCTTCCACTCTATAGTGGTACAAATAGGAAGAGACATTGGCTGGGTGTGTAACAGTCTGGGGCTCAGATTAGTTCACTATAGAACTGTATATTCTGGCAGATCATTACCTAGAATTTTAATTAACCTGTAAAATGTGCAGATACTTTTTTTTAATTTGATATAAAGATTTACACATCAGCACAACATGCAGCGATTCAGCAATGTTGATTGGGTGTCATGAACTAAACCATAAGAAACAAACAAACAAAATAAGAAACCACTGTAACACAAAACAGAAAAAAAAACATTGGTGATTCTTCAATAATGGCATTCTTAAAGTCCTCTGCACATTTCCTTAAGTGTTAAAGGCTCAGTGAACCCAAAATATTAATAATATTAATATTAACAGTTTACTCTTTCTGTCTTTCTCTCTCTCTCTCTTTCTATTGCGCTGCGCGCCGGCGCTCGCCCGCAAGCACTCACGCGCGCCCCTGACACATCACTATTTGTATGAGCCAAGACTTAAAACTTACGATAATATTAAACACGGTTGATTTTGTCGCAGCGTGAAGACGAGAAAAAGACTGACTTAAGACCGCCATCTTGGCTACCTTACACCAAACGATCAAGATGACACGAGTGTGACGCGACTCTAACAATACTGTCATGATTTTATTCCGACATGGATATTTGTCTGCGACAGTGAAATCGCTTGAAAAGTCGTTTGGTGTAAGGCCGGTATAACTTAATTAATTATTTAGACAGAGGTTTCTTATATCAGGTGTTGAAGACTTTTGAAGGTAGTGGAGTGAATTCCACACCGTTGCCCCAGGGCGTGGGTGTTGCACAACTGTCCAATGTCGTACCGAGGATAATTGCAGGGTGTGCGTTCTAAGGATCTACCTTCCAGGCACTCACATTCATGTTTCATGGCCTTGTATTAATGTGCATGAACGGACATGGTTGAGCATGGTGTTGATGGTATTCACATAAATCTCTGTGTTTTGGGTGTGGCGCAGGGAACAGTGTTCAGAACAGGTTGATAACTGTAGCTGCTTTTTTTTCTGTTCATGAAATCTGCTTCAGAGCAGTAAAATGTGGTTAATTTTGAATGGAGAGAGAGCCACTTAAGTGAGCAACCAGTCTAGAATGTTACATATTTCTTCAGTTTAGAGGTGTGTTCCCCTTTCAGAAATGAAAACAGAAGTTCTACATGGAAATTTATTTGTGGCTGAGTAAGTTCTTGTGTAAGGGTGTGTCTGGTGTCTGTGTGTGTCACACGTGCCTGTGCCATTGCTGATTGAGTCACTGAGGCATGTACAGCCACAGTAGTACTACAGAAATTTTGATTGAGATCTCTTCATGTTGTACTGTGCAAAAGTCAGAGACCATGTTTCATTTATTTAATTTATGTTCAAAGTACTGTTAAGTAGCATCATATTACAGCATATATTTAACAGAAAATTATACAGAACCCTCAACAACCTAAATATAATCTCATTCAATCTTATTCAGTATTTAGTTCATCCATTCTTTGCCTTCATTTTCTATTGTTTTTGGGTGACTTGCTTTTAGTTTTTTTTTAAAGAAATCTGCAGGAATGTTTTTCCACACCTCGAAAGTTGGAAGTAGTTTGCACTTTCTCATGATCCAAGCAGTCCCAAACACCCTCAGTGATGTTGAGGTCTGGGCTTTGGCGTGGTCAGTCCACTGTTCTGAGAACACCAGCAGCTTCTTTTGATAATTGTTGGGCTCTACTTTTTGAAACTCGTTTTGTTTTCTTTCTAGAGATGAAATGATATTAAAATTTCATATCACGATTATCATGACCAAAATTATCACGATTATCGGTATTATCGCGATATTGTTCAAATGTGTTGAAAAGTAAAATAAATAAATAAATAAATAAATACTGATTCCCAAAATTGAAACTTGTTTCACCAACTTTTATATTAACACAAATAGAACTGGCAGCAATATGCACTTTTTTGTTTGAATAAACATTAAAAAAATATAGTCAATGCATTTGTAGTATTACTTTTGTATTACTTACAATACTTGTAATACTCTGTAAACAAAAGAATAGCACATGTATTATTATTATTACTGTTATTACTATTATTATTATTATGAGGTGGGTCTTAATGGAAAATGACTACTTCTAAAAAGTGCTGCACTCGGGGGATTTCTGTCCGAACTGCAACTGCAGCATTATTGTGCCGTTATGGCGCTGTACCCCTAATCAATACAGTGCACTAAGAAAAACAGCCAAAATCACAGAGGAACTGCGTGACCGCGCTGTGAGCTGCAGACAGTGTAGAACTCACACAGTGTGTCTTCACCTGTGGAGCTGCTTCTCTAAAAGCATTTTAAAACTAAAACATAACTTAAAATTAACGCGCATCTGAGCTGCGGCAGAAATACCCTAAAGTTTAATCTCTGAAACTCTGCTTTTCCCCCAAAATCAGCACACAGCGTTTACTCGCGCGAGGTCCCGTCTCAAAGCACACTATCTTCCCTATGTAGTGCACTTCGTGGATCATGAAATAGCAAATCCTTCACCCAAAGAGTGCGTGAAATGTTCACAATAACAATGTATTAACAACAGGTTACAAACTCCCTATTTAAAACTCAGCTGCTTGTTAATGATGATCGTGTTTGTTTGAACAGTAGCGCACTATGTAGGGGACACTGAGTGATTTGAGACGGTGTTATTCTCCTCTCAGAGAGTAAACACTGCAAGCGAGACGAGAAAGGGGAGCTGTGCAGATTGAACTTCTGCAGCGTCTCGTTCCAGAGCTTGTGTGACTGTTAACTCAGAGCTCATTTTGGAGACTCTGCTCCACAGAAATGTGTTAAAAGCTTTAGTTTCGATTCACAGTTGATTCACCGATTGGGTTTTGGACGCTAAAAGCTTAATTTTATATTATTAACGAACCATAAACACAAGTTAAACCACACAAACCATGACATTTCTTCTATTTCGAAGTCCCCACGGACTTCTGCGTTAAAGTTAACCTTGCATTCTCTAAGACTTGGTCTTCTTAGAAGGCTGAAATATCTCAGAATCTCTGTCACTACATTCCGCCATATTCTCCCCTCTCTCCCACTCCCTCTCTCTCTCTCCCCCTTCCCCTCTACACACACACACACGCACACACACACACACACACACACAGAGCTGCGTCTGAGAGATGATTCTGCCTTTGTTTGACTCTGTACAGCGAGTTTTTCACACCGTGGTAATCGACCGCGGTTTTAACGATACTTTAAAGTTCAAACGGTACTACTAACCGTCATTAATTTTACCGCGGTTTACCGTGAAACCAGTAACCGTTTCATCTCTTTCTTTCACATTCCCTTCCTTTTTTTTCTCAGGAGCTTAGGTTCCATGCATATGCCTTGAAAAATGAAAAACTTGTATTTAATGCTTTCTGTCTCTTGCACAGCACTGTATCTGCATATATTCATAATATATTGTGCAGCAGTACCATTATTTAGTATTAGACTTTTGGTGTGTTATTTATTTATTTATTTATGTATTTATTTATTTATTTATTGTTTTGGGACCACAAATGTAATTAATGCTTTCTTATAAGGAGAGACTAGTCCTGTGTGTTGAGATTTTTGAGTGACAGGGGCTCAGTTTGTCTGGTTCCTTTTGCATGTGTTGTCAGGGCTGAGGAATGAGACTGTTCCTGTTGCACATTTGACATTACAAACTCCCTCTTTCTTTAGCAGTGAGTCAGAAAAGCCTGCTGGCTTCTTGTCTGTTTGGATTACAAAAACAGTCGTTGCTTTTTTCTAATAAGTACACTTTTAGTGTGGCGGCCTTTTTCCCCTTTTTCTTTGTTTTTGTTTTTTTGCTGCAAGAGAACATGACTGCTTAGGCCTCTGTATTAAGGCAGAGGGCTTGAAATCTGGACCCCAAATCTAGTGTCCGGCCCTGGATTTTGTATTCACCGGTAGGCATGGCGCTAGGTGAATGATCAGTTACATTAACTGTTCTGTTAACTATCTAATGATTACAAAATCCAGGACCAGAAGCTGGATTCAGGGTCTGAATTTGAAGCGCTTTGTGGGGTACTGATATACAGACATTAAAAATTTGATTTGAAAATATGTTTTTTGATACAGCAAAAAAAGAACTACCTAAGTATGTGCCTTGTATTTATACGTTAATATTTGCCTGCATGCTTACTGATGCTTACTGGTGATCTGCTTATTGAATGAAATTTTTGATATTCTGCATGTTGAAAAATGTCTTTATTCTGCAGCGCTATTATTAAAAACAAAATCGATTGGTTTGGTTCTCACATTGAACTTTACTCTGATAGGAGGTGCACTGATGGTCACCAGTTAAAAAAAAAAATCTTAAAATAGATTAAAAAAAAAAATAATAGGATCGCAAAATGTCTTATTGTATGTCCTTTATTACTATTAGACATGTTTAAGGATGTCTGATCCTGATGTAATTTAATGCATCAGGTATTGAGTAAAAAAAAAAGTCGGTTCTGATCCTTTGTTTCTTGTTGTTTTGTGCTGTTTACTCTGTTGTAGTAGGGGAACCTGTATATACATTTTATATTTTAACTGTATATAATAGTTTTTAGGGATCAAGTATGCAGTGCATTGAACCCTATTGGAATTGTCAAGATTTTTTAAATTATTTTTCTGCCCTAAAACAAATCGCCCAGACCAAACCATAAGTC